CCTCCGGTCGTTCCTTTTTTTTTTGGTTGCTTCTAAATTTTTGTTGTCAAATTTAAAGGCTTCGCTAGCCACTACGGCCTACGTAACAGGGCAAATGTCAAACCAGACATTAAAAAAAAACAAAAACCAAAATTGGATAGAAACCATGACAAGAAAGGAAGACAAAGACGACAATCAAGATGAAGGAAAGGAGCATAGTGAGGGAGAAGAGAACGAAGAAGAAACCAAAGAAATTGCTACTGCAAGAAATCCAACTCTTTTCAATGACACTTTCACCGAAAACTCGTAGAAAGTATGGGGAGATAAACTACACGAAGAGGCCAAATCATTAAGCAATACAGGAGGGGATAGGACCAACGCACATTACATGCCGAAATTAGCGGATAGACTTCTAAAAGACATTCGGTGGCTGCCACTATGGTCCTGCATCCTCAGAGACCAATACGGTTATGGCCGTGTGCCTGCAAGTAGTGCGCCATCAGAAAGTGATTTCAATTATGTGAAAACTCATTTCCTTAAAAAACCTAAGCCTATCAGAGCAGATGAGTTTCTCGAATTACAAATTGCCAATATAAACGGTCGAATGCATATCGCTGATGCGAAAACAGTTGGTACGTATTATTTATGCATTCGGTGTGATTACAGTATTATGTAACATTATTTTGGCAGATGTTTCAAGCGAGTATCATTCAGTTGTCGATACCTCCATTGGAAATATTATCGAACAAGAGGAAGATGAATCGAACGATGCGATTTCTCCTTCAGTGGACATCATTGACAGTTCGATCAAAGATACTTCAAACAAATCGGAGGATAAGGAAACAGAATATAACATAATAGAGATGAAATCAAAAACGATCGTTTGTGAACTGTGTGAAGTAGTTACGAAAGCCAAATCAGACGGGAACGTCGAAAGCAGAGATTTGTGTGAAGTATGCATAAAAATCGATGTCGATCGAATTTTTGCATCACGAGAAGAAGAAGATTGGCGAGGTAAAACATCACAAGATACAAGCAGCACAGAAACCAGAAAAATATTTTTAAAAAACGAATTAAACAAAACCAGATAAAAAGATGTTCAAAGTATTTGGCACTAAACCAATATGTAATTGATACAGCGAATTGTGAAAAATCAAAACAGATTCCATTATTGAAAAATGGTGGATATACAACGTTAAAAGTATGTGCCGGCTCCTTCAAATCGAGAGTATACAATCATCAACCATTATTTGTACTATACTATATTCATTAATATATCTGTTTTAAGGGTATCAAAATTGGACTTCTCAATGTTACTCTAATAAAAACGTGCGCGTTCGACAGCATACTTCAAATTCTGCTAGTTATCTTATTCGATGAACCAGCTGCAGCAGAAACTTTTAAACTATTAAATGTTCCTATTATAAAACTGGCACTTTATATTTGGGCTAATGGATTAACAAGCCATGCTTATAGACAAAGGGCAACAATTATGTTTGATTGGTACAAAAATACTGGACGGATGAAATTTAATGAATTGGAAAAAATAAATAATAATCAGTTGAAGAGTCTATGCGTGAACTGTAAATCAAGTGTAGCTGGTTTAACAAACTCATTATTTTATGATATACCAAGTCTGTACGAAACATCATGTTGTGAAGCGGGCTGCACAAATAAGAACATAAAAATGGTCACAATAGCAGTGAAGCCGCAGATATTAAATGACCCAGAATTTGAGAAGGTTTTAATAAAGCACGTGGCTCTTGCACACGAACAGTTTTGTTCGAAGGAGGGAGGATGTAATAAAAAAGTAGTCACAGCTTTTTCACAAATAGGTATGGAATACATAGGTTTAGTATACTCTACATGTACTCATACGACCATGTTAGTTAGTTAATATTTTGTTTGTCACTTACAGGAAACTTTTTGGCATTTGAGCTTTATGAGGATCCGCTCAAAATATGTTCGCACTTGATAAAATACCGAAAAAAATAAGCGATCCTCTTGGTGGAAAGGATTTAATACTCAAAGGAGTGATTAATTATATCCCAGCTCGCCGTGTTCTTCGCAAAGCAGAAATTAATTATAATGAATCCGGTCACTATACAGCCTTTTGCTTGAGATCAAGTGGAACATGGATGGAATTTGACGATATTGGACCTGAACAAAAAGTGGTTCCTGAAAAACAAAAAGTTGACATTCACGTCATTATATACTTTCGAGTTTAAAATTGTCCAATAAATTTAATCTACTCAAATAATATAGAAATTACAATTCCCCACATGCGAGTGCGTTTGACCTACGGAATGAAGGGGTTGATGCAGAAATATCGAGCCGTTAATTCAAGACGAATTTAAGACCAATTGCAACGTCCTACCTTTCTCGTACGCCGAGATACAAGGAAATAGGTAAAGAGGGGGTGAGTTCTGACCTAGGGGATGAAGCGGTAAAATTGGTCGTTGCAGAAATGTCGAGCCGTTAATTCAAGACGAATTTAAGACCAATTGCAACGTCCTACCTTTCTCGTACGCCGAGATACAAGGAAATAGGTAAAGAGGGGGTGAGTTCTGACCTAGGGGATGAAGCGGTAAAATTGGTCGTTGCAGAAATGTCGAGCCGTTAATTCAAGACGAATTTAAGACCAATTGCAACGTCCTACCTTTCTCGTACGCCGAGATACAAGGAAATAGGTAAAGAGGGGGTGAGTTCTGACCTAGGGGATGAAGCGGTAAAATTGGTCGTTGCAGAAATGTCGAGCCGTTAATTCAAATAAAATTTTAAGATTAATTACGTGCGCATAAATGAATGATTTTTTAAAACAGCCTTTAAAAAGCGGTTAAATAATATGTAAACTAGAATTCTATAACACTTACCTTTAATATTGTTTTGACTATGCTCCTCCCAGCTTAATCTACATTTAGGAAGTCCATGCATTTTTGGCATTAGGGGTGGAGCGGAAAAATTATTTTTGGAGCACTAAAATAGCCTTTAATTGTGGCGTAGGTTATATGTTGAAATTCGTATGTGGTCGCCCTAGGTTTTTCGACTTGGTAGAGAAGCATGGAGTCAAATATGTTCGTTTTTTATCATCCTATTAATAAATCATACGCTCAGTCCCCATCTGATCTTTATTCTGTCAGAGAAACTTTTATATCCTGTGGCGTGGTGTAGGATTATCTATGCTGCTACAAAAAGTGTTGTTTTTCTACTAAACAATTAAACAAAAATGAAGCAACAGAAGAGTTTTTTCTAGTTATCAAATGACAAAAGAATCGGCAGCAGTATTCCCCACAATATTGGGACGTTAGAAATACGTCATACAGACGTCGTCAATCGCCACTACTGACATACGATAGAATCCGTAAATCCGCAAATGACACCTTGTAGACGTCATTCTAAAATATGTTTGTCCCATTTACGGATGTCTTTCTGCCCATCTTTCGCACATCCTACCTGTCATTCATGGAATGTATTTTTAATATCCATCTGACAATTTGCTTCATTTGATAGAATATTCTTATAAGGTAGATGACCCAGTCACCGGCCATGTACCGGTATACTCAGTGGTTGGCTAGTCGCGAGAAACCGTCCTATGAGCATTTCTCGAAGAGAAACAATTTATGAAATGACACAGCAACGAAAGTTAGACGCGCTAGAAATGACACATCCGCTGACAGGTTAAAAACATTCAATTAATGTATGCTTTTTTTAAAAAATGTAGAAAATATGATAAAGCAAACAACCTATTGAGAATTACACGCGTGTAAGGTTCCCAAAAGGTACTGTAGTTAATAACTATAAAATATATAATATTAATAATAATAATAAATGGTCAAACTAGAATAATGGACAACATAAATGCCAACATCAAAACGACTTCTAATGATCTCATATTGCATCGTGTTTAAGATCATGTGCATAAGACGTTTACTGGATATATTACGCATAGTATTTTATAATCAGACATCAGTAGGACATTGCAGACATAATTAGGATGTTCTGTGTTGTGTGGGATCATTGTGCCAACAAAGTACTGCAGCAATTAACGCTGGCAGTGAGCGTACGCAATCCGCAACTGAACTAATTAATAATAACAGTCCAAATGAAAACGATCCGAGTTATTCAATGTAAAATGGTAATTCAAGTGATTCTGCGTCAGTTGATTTATTACGATCATCAGTTAAGAAAGGGTATCTGGTGGCTGCATCGGAAGAGGGAACAGATCAGGAGTTACTCAGAGCTTCTGATTTGGATAATTTAATGGACCTCAATAGCACCGATGGAAAAGCACCTGTGGAATCTCAATTAAAAAGGGAGGTGAGAAAGTGGACATTGGAGTTTAATATTCCTCATAATGCCACCTACGGTTTACTCAACATAATGAGATTTGCCAGTCACTCTGATTTGCTGACCAATGCCAGATCTCTTTTGGATACTCCAAAATCATTAATGTGAATATATTTATTATGGACTAGACAGAACTATAACTGACCAGGTGAAAAATGTTGTAAGGTGCAATAGTAAGTCTTCATATACATATACCTTCAAAATATGATTATTAATATTTGTGATTGTGAATCTCATAAGACTTTAAATTAAGGTTTGGTGCTTACGCACCTTGATAGAAATATATTCATGCCAATACAGATTGTTTATTTACGAAATAAGAAATATGCATTTCTTGTAACTGCATCTATTGTACCAGATCTGTAATCATTTTATCATACGTTCAGGTTTTACTTGCTCTCGCGTTTACTTCTGCGCCAACTTCTATTTAGAAGTGCAAAAAATCAAGAATCTTCAGGTTGTGTATTCTTGTTTAATAATAAAGTTATACCTAGTTATTATTATTCCATCAGACACCGTTAAAATAATATTACACATAATTCGCGGTGCAGGTACTCTTATTACCGAATGCAGCACCCTCTTATTATTTTTCATCTTCTTGACCCATAATCAAGCATAATTAGACTTTAACGAATCCAATACCATTCTTTCAAATAATGCTTGGATATTAAAATAGCAAAACGTAGAAAGTCCCTTAGGCAGTCTTTGCTCGAATGGCAGCACGTTTGCCAGTGACAGCCTGAAAAATGCAAAAAATCAAAATTGGTGGTTGTGGCTTTGTGCGTAAAAGAAGAAGTACAACTAAGAGGATCGATTTCAACATTCTTTTTCGATCTAGTAGTTCAATTACCTGGAAACCAGATTTGATGCTAGCCACGGAGCACCGAGAACCACATGTTTCACATTGCAAAAAGAAGAGTCTAGTGTCTTTTTGAAGGATGGTATCGGGTGAACGGCAAGTATGACAGGTCACGTATTCCTTGATGTATCTCCTGAGAACGTTCTCAATCTGTTTTTGTTGAAAACGACCTTTGATAATGAGCTGACTGTTACCGTCGACGGACCCACTGGTACCCAATTCGGCCAATAAGAAATCTAATAAATGCTTCGGTTGCCTATGTAACGTTTTACAAATCTGTAACGAATATCAGATTTAGTTACTTCTTTTTCATAAAGTTCTATTGCGAGGCGCCTAAGTGCTTATTACGCTTTAAGTAGTTTTCCATACCTCAGTGAAGTTGGCAAAGGACGTCTTCTTCGTTCCTATACGGACGACCTGAGGTGGCCGCATAACGAACTTCTGCTTCTTACCGGCAACCATGTCGGGATTCTTCTCTCTCATGATATTGAATACTCTAACGAGCAATTCGTCGTACGTGTAATCTCTATCCGATCCTACCCACAGGCTCGTATCTTCCACTAGAGAACAAATGTCAAGTATAAACTAGTTGTTGCAGAGCATAATGATGGACATATTAGAGAATGAAAATATGATGGCTTATGGAGCAATTAAGTTTACATTCTGGAAGTTGCAGTATGGTATGAGTTTTTTCAACATTCCATTTCTGTGAATCTGATGGCCAAGCTTGGTTTTTCGTTTTATCATTTTTTCCTCGCTCCTTTTGAAGAAAGTCTTTATGATTATATTCATGAAAAGGAAAATTAAAGTGCACTTTCTCCTTTTATGAGATCGCAACCAGCAGAACAAAATTAAAAATCATCAAAAACAATCATAGTGAATGTGGCTTACGTCAGATATGATAGAATGGAATATATAAATAATTTTTCTAAATTACCCACAATATGTAACTCTTACCATATTCTGCACTTCGCTCAGATTCAGTGCAGCATGTTAACAGATAATACATAAAGTAAACAACTAGACACACACGACAGTCGAAGCCATATTGTTATCTATAATTACCATTCTCTTTATCTTCTATTTCTTTACGTTCTTCCTCAGCTACCAACTCATCCAGATCCTTCTTCTTCTTTTTCTTCTTTTTGGTCTTAGAGAAGTCCATATCCAAATCGAAGTTATCTTCCATGATCACATCTTCAGATGCAAGTTCCACTATATTCTAAAAAAAAAAATAGTAAGTTCTTTATACTATTACAGGAATAATCATGGTATATTAGAATTAAGAAGTTTAAACTACCTCATTTTTGTCCTCAGGCAGAGCAGCATCAAGCTCATCAAGATTGAATGCCTTCTTCTTTTTCTTTTTCTTTTTACCAAAATTTTCAAGATCAAGCACGTCATCATCTTCAGCTACTGATTGATCTGGTTCTTGATTTTCTTTATCTCCAAGCCCTTCAGTAGTTTCACTGCCACTACCTCCTTCACCAAATCCTGCATCCGGATCGAAGGTAGTCTTCTTCTTTTTTTTCTTTTTCTTCAAAGTTGGATCAAAAATCTATAGCATAATAAATCACGTTTGTTATGTTTTTGTTGCTACAATCCATATGAAATGATGCAATAGAAATGGCTGTGGCATACGTTCGATGTAATCGTATTTTAGGTTGGACTGAGGCAATATGCAGAAAGTAAAGCATTTCTACAATAGGCTAAGTGTAAATTGTCAATTGACATCAAATCACACCATATCGGCAAGCTCTAGGCTCAGTAAATAGACTAAAAGTAGAAAAGAATATTTGCCGAACACGTTGTCAGCATTTGCGGATCCTTCTATCTTATCTGTATGAAAAATTTCATCCTAACTGCTAAATTCACGTACCGAATTTTCCTCAGTCATTTCGATGAATTTGCTTGATACCTTCTTTTTTATTTTTTTTACACGATGACACCAATTTAGACTATACTCGGCACAAGCGGCCACAAGGATTATGTCTCTACCAAAGTCGGTCGAGAGACTTGAAATACAATGAATGTTAGCTATAGTTTACTAATATATAGATATACAACACAAGTATTTCATCTCTCAATTTGACCCCGGTGGAAACATAGCCACGGTCAGATACTAATATTATTCATTATATCACACTTATATTTTATAAATTCCTACGTATGTGGCATACTTTGTTGTCGCTTTTCTTATCTCTTATTACTATTAATGAGCGAATTTAAGAACATAGAATTATATAGTTAAAAATGAAGTCAAATATTTCAGGCGATAGAAGGTGTGTTCCAAAATTTACTGTGAGTACTGTGAGTGCTGCCAACTCATTACTGTCTTACTATTTATTTAGGGTGTGTTCTGAAATGTACTGACAGTACTGTAAAAGTAATTACATCTCTCTTAAATGCGTATGGATGAATAAGGACACAGCGTTGGTTACAGAACTGGCATTACTGTCCACTGAACTCTAACCATACTGGAATCTGTACGACAGTGGTGGGGGCCGCGCAGAGAGAATAGCAAGGACACAGGTCAGTGTAGCAACCTATCTCTTTCACACATTGTACAGTCTCGGGAAGAGTTTAAGCTGGGATCATGGAGACTACGTAAGGAGCACGAACTCAAATGGGGAAATTGACAGAACCTGCTACTAATATCGTCCACCCTACGTTTTCTTTTTTGTACCAGTAGCGTCGCTAGTTTCTCTTATTTTTCTTCGCTCTTATTTTGGGAAGCTGTATATTTACATGGAGTTCGTGGTCCTTCTATAGTCTCCATGCCTCGTGCATTAATTGATGACCACCATCGACAACTAGTACTAGACTCACGAAGCCTAGATAGAAGGAGAACGCTCGCTATAGGCTTTCTCGCCGTATAAAGCTCTTCACACACAAAATAACGTAATGACGTAAGACGTAAGTGTAAGGAAACCAACCAATCAGAATTTAATACTGTCCCCTTGGAGGGAGAAGTACTAGATTTTGATTAGTTGGTTTCCTTACGCTCACATCTTACGTCGTTACGTTATTTTGTGTGTGAAGGGCTTAACCGAGAATAGAAAGAGAGAGTAAATCGTAAGGCCCGTTCTGTCCTTCCCTTGGGCAGGAGCGGAATCAGGAATAAGGGAACCTCGCGCAGTAACATGTATGTTTCATGATGAACTTTATTTATATATTTTATAAATTTAAGAATTGATTTAATCTTATGTTAAACATAAAATTTAAGGTTATATTTCTACTTTACTTACTTGTGAAAGCTTATCGTATTGGGCTCAAAATACAGGTCTCGCGATAGTCCACACTTACGATAGCGAATCACCATTTTTTTTAGTAATATTGAATTTTGATAAACACTTCTTTTCTTTCCTTTCCTTATGGCTGACTCCTCTAATGAGAAGATGTGCTAGATTGATAAACAGTTCTGTCTCCATGATTCGACTGTAACAACGTACATTATAGATGTGCGGAGTAATCTTGCACATGGTTCTTATTTTGCATATTACAGTCCTGAACTCCTTCCATCCAGAAAACTTTCGACCAATAGAAAAATGATAGAAAAGGACAGAACGGTCCTTACGATTTGCTCTCTCTTTCTATTCCCGGTTACACTTTCTGCGACACAGTGAGCAGTCCAGTACTATATGTCGATGATGACCAGCAAATGTTTTAATTAGACTACCAATCATCGGCCAGAGTTTCTGCTTCGAATGGGACCTTGCCGAGCAAGATGGGTTTAGAATTGCAAGTTTTATCACGTAAAATGTATTTCGATATGATACCCCTGTATCCATTTCTCAGCCAATCACAGCATTTGGTACTCTAAGTGTAGCGGAGGTATGATTATTCATACCTCGTGTATTAATTGATGACCATCAAATATTTTAATTAGACTATTAATTATCGGCTAGAGTTCTTGCATTGATTAATTCTTTCGAAAGGACAATCTGTTCAGAAATATCTGTTTTATCGACCGTAAATGTGTGTTCATACGTCCATATCCAGTCCAGCTAGACTGCATTGTTTTTTTAATTTTGTACGAAAACTAACGACCACCAAACATTTTAATTATGATATTCGTTATCACCAAATAATTACGCATCGATTAAGCACCTGAAAAACTTAATTCGTTGAAAAAAAATATTTTTCGACTAATTTCACGGTCAAATTTAGATTATTTGATTATAAAAGAATGACTGATAACCAAATGTTTTAGTTAGGCCATCAATGACCACTAAACGACCACCAATCGATTAGATATGATAAAAATTAAAAAATTAAAGGTGTCCGGCTAACTTCACTGAGGTTCCCAGATACGCATTTCCACCGAACCTGATTTCACTCGACCTGGCATCATTCGTACGGTTACGTCTAAAATTGAGTTTCACGGTTCTACCGCACTACGCATGGAGACTAGAGTAAAGGAGGCCGAACGTAAACGGAAAAGTGCCGAATTTTTGGTTTAAGAGTCGTGTACCAGTGAGCTTCAAAGATTTACCATAAGCGTCGCTCTAGTCACGCGACCGAAGTGAAGTTGACAATTGGTGGTACAAGTGAAGTGAATCTCCGTGAGCCTGGCCGGCGGACTTTGACTTTTTGAAATTTTTCTTTTACAAAACGTTTGTTGGTCATTTGTAGGTATTTGTAGGATTAATCAAAACGTTTGTCGGTTAACCGTTTATTTAAAAAATCAAAAATAAAAATTTGCATTAAGTTGTCCGTAATTTTTTTATTTTTTACCTATCTTTGTTTTTCACGTGGCCAATCGATGCGGAATTGTTTGTAGGTCACAGATAATCCAATTAACACTAGATTGCCCAAGGAAGTCATTTTGACTGCTTTTTAATTTCAATTTGGAAAACAATTATGTATATAATGACACAATTTCTTAGAACTTTGTGACTTTTTCTACAACATATAAATGCGTTTATTAATAGATGTAGTTACCTCCCCCTTCCTTCATTTCCGGTATATATATATATGTGCTATACCTATATTGCCCAAAAGCAGTCATTTTGACTGCTTTTTAATTTCAATTTGGAAAACAATTATGTATATAATGACACAATTTCTTAGAACTTTGTGACTTTTTCTACAACATATAAATGCGTTTATTAATAGATGTAGTTACCTCCCCCTTCCTTCATTTCCGGTATATATATATATGTGCTATACCTATATTGCCCAAAAGCAGTCATTTTGACTGCTTGGGAAATTTTAAATAATCAAATGACTCTTATTATTGAATTGAGTAAATTTCTTATATGACCAGTTCGGCTCTGTATTGAAATAACAGTTTTCTTTTCTTTTTCGATTATCGTCACATGATAAGTCGCAGTTGCTCAATAAGCTAAAGTAGTACTTGATATTCGAATCTGTATGCAGTGATACTTGTTCTAACAAGTCGTTTATTTTATTTCTTTTGCGCCCTAAATTCATGAAAGAAATGTCGAATAGAAGTATATAACTGTAAATAATATAAAAAGTATTAATAATTAATTTTAAACAAATTTCTTTACACATTAGTTATTCTTTCACAATGCAGTCATTTTGACTGCTTTGGGCAATATGGGTATATACTAAGTTACGGTCTTTCTAGTGTTAATATGTTTTCGGATCGTTATTTCAATAAAATAAGCAAAAAACGTATTTGGTGAATTTTATGCGGGACGGTCGTATGATTCCAATTAAATTACGAAAACTTATGACAATTTTTGTACTTTAGTGGTATTTGCAAATAAGACATTTTTCTACTAAAATATTTTCTTGCACTCGCTGCCGGCACCGGGGACGATCCGGTCATTTACATTTATTTTTCGCACCAGTTACCGACAAACGCTCTAATTACTTTATTTGTAACCTACAAACGATTTCGAATCGATTAAGTATCAATTAAATAAACATTTATCATTAATTACGATTTTTGGGGTCAACTTCCCGTGGTTATATGACCGTCCCGCGTAAAATGCACCAAATACGTTTTATGCTTATTTTATTGAAATAACGATCCAACAAATATACTAATTGGATTGCCTGTCACCTACAAACGATTCCGCATCGATTGGCCACGTGAAAAACAAAGATAGATCAAAAAATAAAAAAATTACGGCCAACTTAATGTATATTTTTATTTTTGATTTTTTAAATAAACCGTTAACCGACAAACGTTTGAATTAATCCTACAAATATCTATAAACGACCTACAAATGATCTGCAAAAGAAAAAGTTCAAAAAGTCAAAGTGCGCCGGCCAGGTTCACGAAGGTGTGAAGTGAGCTAAGAATGGTTTGAAAAAGCCGAGTAGGGAAGACTGGAAAGGTTAAAAAAGCAAAGTTGAAAAAGCAAAACCACGTTTCTTTTTTCGTCCAAAGTTCGACTAGCTGATAGGCTGCAGCGATGGAAGTGAGAACGACCAAACGTCCAAGAAGAGAGAAAGGAAGTGAACAAAATCCCGATGAGAAAAACCGCTAGTACACTTGAGAAAATTGAAAATTTTGAGGAAGGCGACACGGACATGTACGAGCTGCCAACGTGTCGAGATTACTTCAGGTATGTCGGAACATTTCAACGAGGTTAAGATAGAAACATTCACAGGATTCTTTAGTTATTAATTGCCGAATGTAATCGTTGATATTGTTCAGTCTTATTCTACACAGTGAAGGTGACATCTGCCACAAAACGATCACTAATAATCAAGGACAATGGAATTATCCCTCTGAATGACGTATGACCAAATGATGAAACTGATGGCACAGGGTCGACATTGATTCTTATCTTCTGCAATTCTTTAAATGTCAAAAGTGAGTCTCACGTATATCAGGAATCAGCTATTAATAATTACAGTGAAATCATCTCATTTTATATTGTTTAGATCGAGAAACGATATATCATATTTTAGAAATTATATCTATTTTGAAATTTTTATTTATTTTATTTATGACTTGTTATTTAGTTCTTTGTCGTAAAGAAGCGATTTCATTTTAATGGAACTGGTGTCGTTCGGTTGAGAAACAAAAATCGTTTGCTAACTTGTATTTTTTCCGTATTACTTTTCTCAGCTTATAGACATGCCAGGGTATCTGCTAAAGTGCACGTATTAGGGAACCCTGGCTGATTGATTGCGTACTGCAAGCCAAAAACGAAGCAAATATTTTACTAGAAATTCAGTATTTGCATGAAGGAGCTAAAGAATGGAGAGCAATGGAAAAAAGTAATCACGGTTGATCCGACACTCAAATGGGAGAAATTACAATTTAATTATTATCAACGTCTGTACGTTCTCTAAACACAATGTGTATTATACAAAAGTGTTTATTTTCGCACTAAATGCATTAAGGTAGAACCTGGTGGTCAGGGTAGTATCATGATGACATGACTGACATATTTTCAAGTAATACAACCCAGAAAGTTATCCAAAAGTGAACTAAATGAGTACCAAATTTTCTCCTGGAAGTTACCTATAATCTAATAACTGTTCTAAAAGACAACTTCAACACATAATAATAAATAGGTATCTTCCAGACGGATATTTGGAACCCATTAAGGCATCAAAAAGATATCGACATAATTTTACTACCAATCTATCGGGCAACAATAATTTCACAATATCCTATCACACTTCGGAGATCATCACATAAGCGCGTAAAAGCGTTTCAATTGTAATATCTTATTATTGTGTTTCGCGTGATGAAAATATATGATTATTTTTTTATTGTCGACAATATACATATAACAACATAAAATAGCTTATTTGTAAGCAAAAAAAATTCTCTTTTCATAATTCCCGCTAAAAGGCGTATATAATAAAGTTATCTCGGTCTCTCTCACTTCTCTGTCTGTCTTTCTCTAGGTCGGTTGACTACAGCGCCACCATGATATGCAACTGACCTTACTGCACACCGTTTTGGGACCACATCCAAAGTACTGCGTTCGACCTCCTTTACTCTAGTCTCCATGGCACTACCGTTCGATTCAACCACAGACTTCTATATACCACTAGACCGCTAGTTTGCTAGCTGGCTGTGAGGCAAAGTGGAGGGGAGATAGGACGCCATCTTTTTGTATGGCATTCCGTATTCCAGGCGGGGAAAGTAAATAGGGGACGCCGATCACTTCTTCCTTGATTTCTATGTTTCCACGTTTTCCGAGCAGACGTATTTGTGTACATAAAATCGGAATGATAGGTAAAATAATTTGATAAATATGAAGAAACGAATCAGATAAGCCAATGTCAAACAAGTGGAGGCACAGATCTCAAATATTTCGAAGACTATATCACTTATAGTGTGCCAAATAGCTAAGTGGATAAGATGTTGACTTAGTAAACGTAAGGTTCGGGGTTCAAATGGCGATATTTTTTATCCAATTTACGCTACAATTTTTAAAATAGCAGTATAAGTTCTCTCTTTCCTTTTTAAATATTAAAAGAGGAGAGTTTTGCTGGATATAATCACTAACTACACGCACCAATGCCAATGTGATGCATTTGCCCCACTGAATAGTGTCAGGTGTCACACGAATACATTAACCCACTCACAAATTTGTCCTATAAAAGATGGCAGCCAGTCCCCACCACTTCAAAAAATTTTCCTCACTTCTCTCAACGGCAGGATACTGGAAGCTAGCGGTCTAGTAGTATACATATAGAAGTTTGTGGGTTCAACTCTGTTTCAACCTTGTTTCAACTCAACTCTTACTACGGTGGAAACTAAGCCATTGTAATAAAGAGTTTTAGAACTAATAATGCAGGTGCAATTGGAGAATATTATAACAAATTTTATATAGTTCTGATTATAATATGAATAATTATTAACTTAAGCTAATAATTCTAACTTAAGCTACTTTAACTGAATCTATGTAATTTATTTTACGGTGTATTGTGTAGTGTACTCTTCAGGAGCAGAAGTTTGATTGCCGTCATGAATCCTGAAGCTTACACTTCTCTGTGTCTCACATATATACGTACACATTACATATACGCACGCACACATCATTTGTAGGTCCATCTCTTTCGTGGAAGGACGCAGAGACGCGCCTCGCTTAGTCCCACAGCTTACGCATTGTTGTGATTCACAAAGAACTCATACCCACCCCTGTTCCTAGCTTATTTGGAAAGCGCATGGATAACTTCAACGTTCTACTCGAACTTTCCCTCGTCGCGCGACTTTCTCAAGTGATTCAATATATTGCCAGGAATGGAAATTGCCATATGCGTATGTGTATTGCCATAATGCGAACTGACTGTGTCCGCAATGTGAAGTGAAATAAGTTGTAATTTGTAAACTATATTCGACCGCAGTAGACTTATTACTGTTTACAAATTACAATTTATTTCGCTTTATATTGCGGAGACAGTTAGTTCGATTTATGTTGTTTCGACTACAAGATTGCATTACGAGTGATTATTCTGTGAGAGAATATTGCGACATGTATTGGGTGTTAGCCCAATGTAATGGCAACCAAACACAAATAGCGCAAGAATATGCAATTAGGTACCCTAATCGACGACATCCTGATAAAAATGTTATGTACTCTACAATATTTACTGTTTCAGAATAATCATTATCATAGAAAATGTAT